ATCTTCAGTAAATATGGGAATATTAAGGCTTACCTTGGAGAGTTATGGAGGCTGAGATCACAAAGCCCCTTGCCCAATGCCTGAGATGTGTTTTTAACAAATACAAGTTTTCCTTCCTCCCCAATTTACTTTGTCACTTCTTCCCTGCCTTCTTTCCTTCCACCTGAAATGGTCCACAGGCCACTCCAAGTTAGCTGTAGACACATGCCACATTGTTGACCAGAGACCAGGCTTAGAAGACAATCTCTTAGAGGTCAGTGCCTCCAGGGTACGGTGGTCACATTTTCAGGGTAAAAATCAGGGAACATAGGTCTGATAACAGATGTATCTACTTATAGTATCAATGGGATAGAATATTTGAAATTAGGATTATCCTGGGAAATCTAGACAAAAAAGGATCTCATTCCTCTTTTAAGAAAAATATTATGGGGGCGCCTGGGTGGCTCAGTGGGTTAAAGCCTCTGCCTTCGGCTCAGGTCATGATCCCAGGGTCCTGGGATCGAGCCCCGCATCAGGCTCTCTGCTCAGCAGGGAGCCTGCTTCCTCCTCTCTCTCTGCCTGCCTCTCTGCCTTTTGTGATCTCTGTCTGTCAAATAAATAAATAAAAATCTTTAAAAAAAAAAAAGAAAAAAGAAAAATATTATGACTTACCCCTCCCCATTGTCTCATTCATATCCAAAAGTGTCTTTGGTGTAGGGGTGCAGAACACTGTGTGTCCCACTCACTGACAAGTCTGAGCAAGAGTCAACCTATATTTGGTGCTATACCTGAAATGTCCTGGGGATTAGGAATTATTTTGTTAGAAGTTACATCAGCACTTTCCCAAGGCCAGGAGCTACTTGGGTACCTTGCTGGAGTAACTCAGCACCATCTCCTGGCTTTATGTTGGGCTTGCAGGATGAAGGGGTGGGGATAATTGGAAAATTAAGGCTTTTGCTGGGAGGGGAGTATAAAACAGTTTAAGATATAAAGAATTTAACCCCTGATAGAGCCACTCCCAAATGGCCTTTTCTTGTCTTTTTTCCTTTTATAGCTCTGTACTATATGATAATATGATCAGCTCCTGCTACTTAAAACTCTTAAAACTCTTACTTAAAACTCACTTTCGTGAGATTACACTCCTTGGTATCCTAGTTATGTGCTGAGAGCTTCTTTTGGTTTGTTTTTCTGGCTCCTCTTCTCTTCCTGACCTTCCATTACTGCTGTTTCCCTAGGTTTCTGGTCTTTCTTAGGATTTTCTTACAGGGCAAATTCTTTGGTTTCCACAATTTCTGGGCCATTGACCCCAAAACCTATACAACCAATCTCTCCTGACATCTCTCGAACTTCAAATCTACCTGAATATCCTGATGGCTCTCTATATTCAACACACTGAATAGAAAATTTGTCATCTCTTTTCCCCCCTCCCAAACCAGCATTTCTTCGTGTAACTTAACCTCATGCTTTAATTATCCCACTTTGGCTTGAAATGCCACCTTCACCTTCAAGTCAACTTTGACTTCCTCCTTTTCCTCAGATTAAAGAGCCTTCAAAAAGGACTCCAGCCTAGCTTTCCATCTCTCCTTCCCCAACTCCCCCAACCCCTTCTTCCCAGCCTTTTCCAAACTCTACTACCTGTTTGCCATCAAATTCCCTATAGTCTTTACCTATGAGACTTTATGTAATCTCATTCCTCATTGCTCTGCCTCAAATGCCTTTCCTTCTCCCTCCTATATCTGTTACAATCCTACCCATTCTTTAAGGTCTATCTTCAGTGTTACATCACATGTTCTCTTGCTGTCTTCCTGATTTCCTCCCATTCAGTTTTATCCTCTGCACTATTTCTTATATTCCACATGTGAGTGAAACCATATAATTGCCTTCCTCTGACTGACTTATTTCACGGAGCATAATACCTTCCAGTTTTAATTCACTTTTAAAACAACTCAGAGGATAGGCATGTAACATACCCTTATTCCTGCTTATATTTGTGATTGGAGACTACAGGAGCCCCATACAGCTACCAGCCTCTTCTGGATTACTCTTCTCTCATGTCTGCACACATATCCATCAACTCTTTGTTCATTATTGTTTAACAGGTAAATAAACTGACTCAGTGGCACCATAATTTGTAAGAGCAGATACTCTAGAGCCATACTGTAGCTGCATTTGAATTATGTCTTTAATACTTATTGTCTGTGTAAATTTTGGAAAATTATTTAATGTCTCTGAGCTTCAGTATCCTCACCTCTAAGATAGGAATAATAATACTATTTCCTCAAAGAGCTGCTGTGAGGCTTTAATGAATTAATGTGTGTGAAGTTCATGGACTAGTGCCTGACATATAACAAGTACTCCATACTAGCTAATAACATCATCATCATTATCATCACACCTTTAGCAAGTAGCAGAGGAAGATCTTAAATCCAGGTGTTCTTTTCTACCTTCTCTATCTATAGTGTTACTTTGAGGAAAGCATGATCTAGGAAGCTGGCCATCTGATGACTGCAGGCAAGTTCTCTTGCTATATTGTACCTGATCTATGAAATGGCTTAAGGGTGATAACCTTTGAAATGCTGTTTAGTTCTGACTGCTTTTGATTCCATGTAGGCCCTGACAACAGGATTACCAGTTGGTTTATAGCCAATGAATCCTAGATTGTCCTTGTCTAGGGTATAGCTGAGCTCTATGATCTGAGGGTTCAGGCAGATCAGCTGGACTAAATGGGGACAAGAATGAGCCCACTGCTGCCAGGAAAAGCCAAACATGAAGTTGCTAAAAAGATGACTGCACTATAGAAAGAGCACAGGCAGTGGAATCAGCCAGACCTGGGCCTAGGCTACCTCAGACAGCATCACAGATAGCATCCTGAGCTGAGGGCTGGTAACTGATGCCAAGATATGCTTGACCTTTGGTTAAAAAGCCAAGGTAATAGTTTTAAGTCACAGGCCTTCATGGTGTTGTGGGTTGGGGCTGTATGTACTTATTGAGCTCTAACAACACCAGTCGGAACCCATCTTTGGTAGAAGAGGGAAATTTTTTAAATCAAGATTTATGTTATTAAGGCCAGCTACCAACAGTTCTCCACTGAGACCAGAACAAGAACAAATTGAATTTTAGTGCAATTGGAAGAAAGCAGGTTCATCATAAGACAAAACAAAATAAAACATCTCATAGGCAGGATAATTGGTGACTAAAGGTGGCTGTCCATATCTCTCTCTTTGTAGTTCTTTACAAATAGGAGTCATCTGGTTTCTGATGTTATGGATGGAGTTCTATGACTTCCCTGTAGCATTGATAGTATGGTATCATGGGTATTAGAACACATGCAATCAGAAGGCCAGGCTCCATAATTTATTACTTGTATGATTGAACAAATGACAGGTCACCTATCTGAGCCTTAGTTTCCTTATCTTTAAAATATGGGTAATAGTGAGACCTAGTCATTCAGTAAGGATCAAGTGGTGAAGTAGATATGAAAATACTTTATAAATAGTAAAGGATGAGATAATTGAAAGATGGTGTTATAAAAGACCCCATTGGAAATCTCATTTGCATCCGTGCTGAGGAGCTCCCAGTATGCCTTACCTAACCAACATAATTACTTAACTAAGTCAAAAGATCAGTACGTGGGTGTGTTTTCATATGTATGTTATGTGTTAATTTCATAACCATGGGTTATCCTCCAGTTGGTATATTGAAAGGCATACCTATGTAAGAGGATGCATGCTTCATATTCTTTCTCTGTTGTTTGAACTGTTTTGTCTTTGGTCTTGTGGAGCTACAGTTACCTTGGGGAATCAGTTCTTCCTCAAAGCAGACTGATAGAAAAATTGACTTCTAGAGAACATGTTCAGAAATTTAGTGCTAGAGAAAGAGTTCTTGAATCTTTTGCCTTGACAAGCCATATGTTCTTTGTCCTGGGATCTGTTTCTCCGAATGTCAGGAAGATTGATGGCCTGTATAGGTTGGAACCAGTTGGGGAAAAAGGAGAACAAACAACACAGGGATCAGGATGGCAGCCAGAAATAGAGGCAGACTCTTCCTCCATCTTCATCCCTATCACTGTGCTTAGACAAGTGTTATGAGTTTGTGTGTGTGTGTGTGTGTGTGTGTGTGTGTGTGTGTGTGTGTGTATGTGTGATGTGGTAATGGGATAGATGTCTTCCTGTTGTTTGCTGTAGCCCAGTCCCACTTGTCACAAACTTTAATGACCAGGGTTAAGATCTTTGCACAGCCCCTGCCTTGCTGGGTGATCATGAACTCACCCCTCAAATTCACTGTGGCTTAATTATGCCATCCATCAAATGCAGGATTCAATCTAGACTCCTTATGTATCTCACAGGGTGGTGGTAACAAATCACTGAGTGAATCTGTGCCAAGGTTGAGTTTCTTGGAAGCAAGGCATCACAGAAAGTCATATTCTTTCATACCCATGACCTCTCTGGATGGCATCATGTGTGGGTGAGAACAGGAGGCTGCAGGACTGGAGTCCATTGTGTGTGAGGAATGCCATGGTCTGTAACCACTTGGGGGTGGAGTACAGTGGTGTTCAATAATGTACCACCAGCTATCAATTGGTCAGTTCCAAGGAGGAGCAGGACAAGGGGGAGAACACAGAAAATTTAGGGCAAATATGTTTGAATTTCATTTTAGCCTTTGATTTCAACCTCTTCACCCATTCCAGACCCAGGGGTGCCTTGATGCATCAAAGGAAGATGTATTGAACTTTCTTTTTTTCTCTGGGGAAAAAGCTCATGAGTAGGAATAAAAACATGAGGCCTGTGTAGTCCATATTCACATTCTGGGCCATTCCACCCACTGGCTAATGGAGAGTTGACAAGTATTGTTTGTCTTGTGGTCCAGTGGAGCTTGTGCTCCTAGTGCCATCTCCCTCTCCCCAACCCTTCACCACCAGTATGTCAGTATTTCCATAACTACTAGAGTTCTGTGGGTGGGGTAAGGGGCAAGTAAGGTAGCTAGCTGTGTGGACTGAACACATTCTCATTTTGTCTCCTAAGCTGATCACTGGAGATTCCATCGTTAGTGCTGAGGCAGTATGGGATCACGTCACCATGGCCAACCGGGAGTTGGCATTTAAGGCTGGCGACGTCATCAAAGTCTTGGATGCTTCCAACAAGGATTGGTGGTGGGGCCAGATCGACGATGAGGAGGGATGGTTTCCTGCCAGCTTTGTGAGGGTGAGTGTCAGCCTTCACTCTCCTCTCTCTTCAGCCTTCACTTTCTTCTCCTGTCTCCTTGGCTACCTACCCTTGACTTTCCCCTCTCCAACCTTTGTTCTTCTCCTCATATCTCTCCTGGTGGCTCCTTACACATTTCCCTTCCCTTTTTTGGTCTTTTACCCAAGACATGGGCCTCCTTTAATCTTTCCCCTTCTAATTTTGAGTTATTTTCTTTTTTTCTCCTTGATTATTTTAACAATCCCCATATTTGTCTGTCTCCTGCCTCCTACCTGTTGTGACTTTGTACAAATCACTTCCCTTTTGGTCTGGATGGTTTTTGAAGACTCTTTTAACTCTATATTGCTGTGAACTTACATTTTTTATCTCTCTTCCTTTCTGCTTTTATTATTTTCCTTGTCTCCCCTCTTTTGTTCTTTCTTTTTATAGATCCCTTTCTTCCCTTCCCCTCCCTTCTCACTCCTCTCTGCCTCCTTTGCCTTCTTTTTCTTATTTAGGGAAGTGTGAATACCCCCATGTGTTGTCTTCAGCTGTTAATATAAGACTGTGGGCTCCCTACCCTCTCAGGGGCTACAGTTTACTGATTGCAGATTTTATATTGAGTCAGGTGTCTGGGATCTAAAATGTGTTGAGGGTGGGAAGCAGGCAACTTGATAGTGCTTAAAAGACCTTGGCCCTTTTGACATTGTGCCATGAAGAACCTGGCCTTTAATGGAATAGGCTCTTGAGAAAGGGCTCCTTAGTAGTTTCTGTTTCCTCTAGGTCACCAATTGGCAAGATACTACAGGGTAAGAGCACTGGCCTGGCATCCCAGCTCTTGCGAATTATAAGCTAGAATCTGTTCTTTGGTATTTGTGAGCTCTGATTTTCCCCATCCACAAAATGGTGTTGATAGTTCTTTAATCCCAGTGGATATCACAATGAATGAGATCATGCACATGGAAACAACTTTGCAGCAGTACAAGTACCCAAGCTACATCAGGATGTCTTATGATCATCTTTACCATAGCCTATCATCTTTTGTTAGTTTCTTCTGTAGGAAAACTGATGTCAAACAAAAGATGAGAGTAGTTTGGGCTCTTGGAAGATGAAGGGCCTCAAGACTACAATGATGATATTGTGACATGAGTGAAGGAGCAGATTATTTGAAATCAGAGAACCTGAAAGGCAATATCACCTTTACTACTTCCCAACTCCTTGGCTTTTGGCAAGACTTAATTCCCTGAACCTTGATTTCTTCATCTGAAGAATAGGGATAACAGACTTTTTATGATGATTAAATGAGATCACATAGGGGAGTAAAGTGTTTAGCATAGTGCTTGCCGCACACTGGGTACTTGGCAAATAGTAACTTGCTCATTATCACCACCACTACTTTATTAGCCCCAAAAGGTCTATGTAACAAGGCTGGCTTTAGTGGTTAAATGAGGCCTCTTTCCTTGGAGGACTGTAAACCCAAGAAATACTGTTATCTGGTTAGAATAATTTAGATGAGGACAGTACTTAGAAGCAGAGGGATGGACAAAATGATTTCTCATCCTCTTCTGTCCTGGGAATCTCCTAATGAAATATCCAATCCTTTTTCCTCTACCTATGTGGCATCTTCCATCTGAGTCTTCAAATGTTATCTCTGTCCTAGCTCAGCCTTGCTGCTTGATGAATTGGTCTCAGGGGTAGTCAGAAAGAACACATCAGTAACCATGGCCCTTTGAGATGAGTGTGAGGTCCTATAAAGAAACAGCTTGTGTATCTTGGGCTAACAGATCCTTCTTTAAATGGAGGACTAAACTGTCATTCCAATCCAAATGTATTTCACTTTCTGTGGAATGTCATTTTAAAAAATTATTTATTTGAAAGAGAGATCACAGGCAGAGAAAGCAACAGAGGGAGAAGGAGAACAAGGCTCCCCACTCATCAGGGATCCTAGGACCCTGGGATCATCACCTGAGCCAAAGGCAGATGCTTAACTAACTGAACCACACAAGTACCCCAAAATATCATTTTTATAATAAACAGTAAATCAAGGGATGGGGCAAAATGATTGAGCAAAGGAGAATGACTCAGAGAGGCAAATGGCAAAGCCAGGCTTTGGCTTACTAATGAACTGACATTTATGCTTCTACATGCAAGGTCAGGAGAAGTGTATCTCTAAGTTTCAGCAGCCACTTGCATGGGCTGAAGCTGACCTTTGAGAAGACTACTGGCTGACTCAGGCATGCATGGTATGGAGTCTAGCCTAGTGGTTTTCAGTCTTGGCTACATGATATAATAAATCACTTGGGCAGCTTAAAAAAAAATCAATACTCAGGCTCCAAGCTAGTTAAATCAGAATCTTTGATGTTAGGAACCACTGGTCTATACTAGCACAGTCCAGTAGAAATATAATGTGAGCCACAAATGCAAGCTACAAATATAATTTAAATTTTTCTAATAGCCATAGTAAAAAAATAAAGTAAAAAAATATATAGATGAAATTAATTTTAATATATTTTTCTTAGCCCAATGTATCTAAAATATTATCATAGAACATCATATATTATCATTATGAACATTATTAATAAATATATTTTTCTAAGTATTTGAAATCTGGAGTGTATTCTATACTGACAACAGATTTTCATTCATATTAGTCACATTTCATGTCTTCATTAGCCACATGTGGCTAGTTGCTACTGTATTAAATAGCACAAGTGTAGACTGAGGACTGTGATAATAGACCAGGACCATTAATGATAGGGCCCAAATTATAACTTAGAGATCAAATATTCTGTCTACTATAATAATGTTTATTCTTTGAGAAATTAAGATAGCATTTCATGTTGCCTGAGATTGTTTTCAGAATGAGCATTTGATCATTGTGAACCTTTTTTGCTTAACAATAGTTGAATGGTCTTTTCATCTCTCCAGGGGAGTACCATAGAACCTTAGGGGCCCACTGTTCTGGTATCATCAGTAAAAAGAAATGGAATCAGGCTGTTGCATGAATGATATGAATATTATCTCACAGGTAGAACTTCAATTCTCCTTAATGAGTATTTATGTTTAGGTTTACATTTCTGGAAAGATTCTATGATATACAAGGTATTAAATGATAGAGGTTATGTAGGCTTCTTCCTAGTAGATATTTTTTTTAAATAAAATCACTATCTCTGTTATTCTACATTGATTTTCATTGAGGGTAGAATGGTCTTATAGAAACGGTAGTAAAAATATTGAGAAATGAGAGTCCTGAGTTCTAGTCATGGCTCTCCCAACCATTTGGTATATGATCATGGGCTTTTATTTACTCCATCTCTGAAGCACTCTCTAGAATTTATTCAAGCTTCAACATGTCTAGATAGGACATTGAGAGGAATCCTACCGAACTATTGAATCTTCGTTAATGTTGATGTAGTTGGTAGGTAGATGGGTGATTTCCTGGGATACTGTAACCTTCATGTTATGGGATAGTCGCCTGCTTTATTCAGACTCACTGGGAGCTGAGATTCAGTAGCTCCTTGAAAACACTATCCCTAGGTTATCTGGCATATAACATGAAAGTATAGTAGGTGGTAAAACACTTTCTTCTGAATTCCATACCAGCTGGACACCTTTGTAGATCTTTGAACCAACTTGGTCACTGTAGAATCCCCATTCCCCTCCTGGAAGTTCCATTGTTGTGTGAGCATCCCAGTCCTAGGATGAATAATCAAGGGTGCTTAGGGTGGTTCTGTCCAAGCTAGCCCTACCTTTTTTTTTTTTTAAGATTTTATTTATTTATTTGACAGCAAGATAGAACACAAGCAGGCAGAGTGGCAGGCAGAGGTAAGGGGAGAAGCAGACTCTCCACTGAGCAGGGAGCCTGATGTAGGGCTTGATCTCAGGACCCTGAGATTTATGTCCTGAGCCAAAGGCAGCTGCTTAACTGACTGAGCCACCCAGGTGCCCGTAAGGTAGCCCTACCTTTCATTAAGCAGATTAAAATCCAGTGTGCAATCTAAGAAAGCCAGATTCTTTTTTCCCCCAAAGTTTTTCTTTAAATTCCAGCTAGTTAAAATATAGTGCTATATTAGTTTCAGATGTAGAATTTAGTGATTCATCACTTATATACAAGACCCACTGCTCATCACAAGTGCCCTCCTTAATACCCATCAACTATTTAACCCATCCTCTCACCCACCCCCCTTCTGTAGCTATCAGTTTGTTCTCTATAGTTAAGAGACTGTTTTTCGACTTTCTTCTCTTTTTTTACCCCATGTTCGTTTCTTAAATTCCACTTACTAATGAAATCATGTTATTTGTCTTTCTCTAACTGATTTATTTCATGTAGCATAATACTCTCTAGCCCTATCCATGTCATTGCAAATGGCAAGACTTCATTCTTTTTTATGGGTGAGTAGTCTTCCATTATTCACACATACCCCCACATCCTCTTTTAATTTTTTTTTTTTTTACACAGAGAGAGACAGCACAAGCAGGGGGAATGTCAGGCAGAGGGAGAGAGAGCAGCAGACTCCCCACCAAGCAGGGAGCCCAACAGAGGGCTTGATTCCAGGACCCAGGCATCATGACCTGAGCTGAAGACAGACATTTAAGTGAATGAGCCACCCAAGCACCCTCCCCACATCCTCTTTATCTATTCATCAGTTGATGGACATTTGGGCTCTCTCTATTGTTCAGCTATTTTTGAAAATGCTGCTATAAACATCAAGATACATGTATCCCTTTCAATCAGTAGTTTTGTATCCATTGGGTAAATACCTAGTAGTGCATTTGCTGGATTTTAGGGTAGTTCTATTATGAACTTTTTAAGAAACCTCCATACTGTTTTCCAGAATGGCTGTACCAGTTTACATTCCTACCAACAATGCAAGGGGTTTCCCCTTTCTCCACATCCTTGCCAAAACCTGTGGTTTCTTGTGTTGTTAATTATATCCATTCTCGCAGGTGTCTTGTACTATCTCATTGTAGTTTTGTTTGTATTTCTATGATGATCAGTGATATTGAGCATCTTTTCATGT